GGCGAAACAAAGTGAGGGTTTCCGGTGTGTGTCCTCCCCCATAGCCGGAATGCCCAGATAGTAGTTGTAATTATCATAGAAGACATATTAAACGGAAGGTACATAGCTACTTACTGTATTCCATAGACACCTTAACAACAGTAGAACCAGTTTTGGTATTCCCATAACCATGGCAGTGATAGTAGAAGCCGCAGCAGCAGTTACATTAGAAAAATACCTATCCTTTACCACCACTAATCCCTTTACTTTTAGCAATATAATTAGTAGGTGCAGTACTGCTATTCATTAGTACTATTTGTTTTCGTACTGCAAGTTTTTTCATTTTAGTTTGTTACTGTAGCTTACCATCGACCGTATTATTACTAACACTAATATTACTACTATCACTAGCATTACACTTCCCGTAGTATAGTATTTATTACTAATATCACCAATATATTAGTCATCACCATTAAAATTAACAATGTTATTAGTAGGTGCCGTACTGCTATCACCATTAATACAACTAGATTTGTGCTACTAGCTTTTCTTACTGGAGCTTTTTATCGCTAGTTTTACTACTAGAACTAGTTCTACACGATTTCTATAGCACTGTATTAATTGTTCTATTGTCTTAATGTGTCTGCCTGATATTTTGTTGCTGTACACTTGTCTTTTATATTGTTCTTGTATTTTGTTGCTGTTCTATTGTCTTAACTATCCTTTTTTGATTATCGTTTCACAACATTGTCATAATAATACCAATGTTACTGATACCCGCGGCCTTCTATTATCAGCATATATAGTAATAAAACTGACATTCCTAGTTATATCAGGTAATTAGACTTAGTATCTTTAGCAATAAGAGTGAAAGTATGAGTCGCAGCGGTAATACCACTAATCACCCTAGTCCTCGAGTTGGTCGCAGTAATTTTGGAAATACGGCATTCCCGCCACTACTGCTACGATAAGTACTGATGCTCCTACCTCCACCACCTCCACCCCCACTCCCCAATCCATTTCCCCCACGCTCGAAAAAGTCCCGCGGCGAGGGTGATATGCAATCAAGTAGGCGGCTCGAATTATAAGGTCGTTCATCCACTAAACCAATAAATGTGACCCATAGTGTAGTTCGGCAGACGTTCGATGTGACTAAGCAGCCCTATTAAGGGACAACACTGCTTATCTCTACAATGGGGAACAGGCCAAAAAATAAGCTCCAAAAATGCTGGGTCACGACATTTCCCAACAGACTGTGACTGTGAGACTGCGAAAACTGTGGTCGAAACAATCAAGACACAAACCAAATTCTTTTTCGTCCACACTGTTGCAAGTAGTAGTATCGACAAAGAGAAGGATTCCCCAAATCAAAAGTCAAGCCAGACAGTTTCGGTGGACAGAACTTTAATGCCGAAAAATAGGCGGTAAAAGGGCTGTCAGCTACAGCTGCGCTTGCATGCCAGATCTGTTCGGGAAGTTGTATCCGCTGCTGCGAAGCCTTTAGAATTTAGAATTTCTATTTGTTAGCACAAGGAAGGCATTGTCCATACAAAAGTAGCTTCTTAAAAGTAGAAAAAAAGAAGTTGACAATGTGCGCAGAGACACGTACAAATTTTTAACAATGTCAGCAGAAATTGTCCTTTTAGGGCAATGTTTGGTGATGATTTGCAATTAATAATGAAGTGAAAGATATAGGCAGTTAAAAAATTTCCACAATGAAAATAAAGACAGAGTTCAACGTGCCTCCATTTTCAAAAAGCGTGTAGGAGAAAAAAATGCACGGGAAAATAGGACAGAGGAGTAGGAATTTTGATAATGGTTAGTAGCCAACGAAACGGCAGCAGTTTAGACTGAGTACGTCCACGTAACTTCGTTTGAGTGAGCGGTGGTCAATGGAGACATCTAAGTTCCCGAGGCACACGAGGCAGATAAAAATAGTTTCAAGAAGTTCTCCAAAATTCCCGATGGTCCTTTCTCGGAGTCATGGAGAAAGCTGCTCGGAACAGATGAGGAGAATAAAAGGTTAATAGAATCAGTGTTAAGATAAATGTGCAGTCTTCGCTTGAAAGCAGACAGTCTAGTTAACGACCTAATTTCAATTAGCAAGTTATTTCAAAGAAAGCTATATCTGGAAGCAAAAAACAAAGAGCGTTTAAATGAGGAGGATGCAGGAGGAGGTATCAAAAGTGCAGAGTTTCTTAGGGTTTTGGGACGGCTGACGGGGGTAATGACAGAAAGCTTGGGAAGATTTGTGCAATTATTAAGGCGAAACATTTTGTTCAAACACGGACACACAGAGCAGTGACGATAATCGCATACACGCGCGCACACACATCCTGGTAGGATCGGCAACAGCAACAGCCCCGATGTATACGACAGTTACCCCGTCGATTTCGACGATGGGCACCGCGTGCTCTAACAGCCGCAGCAAACGCTGAAGCAAGCCACAACGAACACTGAGGCGAGCTGGCCAAGCGACACGAAGGCTACAACAAGCAAGAGCAATGCAGAGAACTAGCGCGAGAGAAACACAGGTGTTTAGGCAGACTCGCGCAGAATCTACCCACTCGCTCGCCACTCCCACCTCC